CCCCTCTTAGTGCTGCTCCGATCCTAACAAATATCACTCATGCCAATTATGTCTACCGTGTCATGGTTGCCCATCTTGACAACACCAAAATTTTCAGACCTGTAGGTAGCAAAAAACTCCCTCCGTGGTGTAGCATGATAAGAAGCACTTATGTCAATCACTCACTCAAGATCCTGACACACACAAGAAAAAATATCATCAGAAGGAGATAAAATCAAATAATCACCACCCTGCACTGTAGTTGTGATATTATCTTTTGACTCTGTAGACTCTACTTCTTTTTCATTTTTCTTGCTCTTCTTAGGTTACTTACATTGGTTCTTGTAATGTTCTTTCTCATCAAACAATATCTTTTTCTGATCTTGACTTACTTCTACCTATGCGTGAACTGCTTCTATCCTTGGACTTTGACCTTCCTCTGTTCTTTGAGATTAAGCACAAATCATTCTAAGATGTTGCTGAATTCTTTCTTCTCAACTCCTCATTCAACAAACTATTTGTTACTTGACTCATTGTGACAATACCATTTGGCGCAGAATTACTAAGGGAAACCACCAGTGTCTCCCAACTTTCTAGCAAAGAATTGAAAAATAACAAATGCTTGCAACTCATCATTAAGAGACATTTTCATAGAGGATAACTGGTTAATAATACTCTGCATTTCATTCAAATGCTCAACGATAGAAGCACCCTCTTTATATTTCAAGTTTATAATTTTTCTTATCAAGAAAGCTTTGTTGTCAATTGTTTTTCTTTCATAGAGACCTTTCAACTTTTTCCAAAGAGAATATGTATAACTTTCAGTAGAAATATGGTGAAAGACATTGTTATCGAGCCATGTCGAATAAACCCAACTGTTTTTCGATCTAACCTCTTCCACTCATCATATGTCATAGTTGCGGGCTTTGCACTATCCCTCTACAAAGGTCTATACGAATCTTTACAATACAAGAGATCTTCCATTCTTGATTTTCATATCATCCAATTGTTTCCATTCAAGTTAATCATGCGAGAAACACTACCGACCTCCATGTTCAAACACAAAAATTAAATCATCAAAACCCTGCTCTGATACTAGTTGATGGGATATAAAGAGAAATAAATTTTGTATATGAACAAATACTAGCAGGCCATAACACGCAGCGGAATTAAATGGAATCATAATAAAATATAATACCAAGATTTACGTAGAAAACCCCTCTAACGTGAAGGGTAAAAACTACGGGGCAAACTAGAGATAATCCACTATAAAAATAATGAATATACAAATCTCAATCTTTTGCCTTAAAACTCAAACAACAATTTCAAGAGAATAACTGAGATACAAATATTACGTCATCGTGCACAATATCCAAATTCTCCTCAAGTAATCACAGCAAGACTACTTATATGATTGAGAACAGTCTCTCTGCGTTGTCCTTGTTTTCTTTTCTTTCTTTTTCCTATTTTCTATCATTTTCTCCTAATTTTTGGAATCACGTAGCTGCTGCAAAATCTGTCTCGTTGCTACAGTTTTCTCCTCTATTTTTCACAACCATCACACCCCCTAATTTGATGTAGAATTAGATGAAAAGAAGATGGGTTATGGACTGTTAAAGCCTACTATGAACTAATTTGTTGTCAGCCCAACAAGCAACTCACATCTAATTCAACCAGCAGGAATTGTACAGAATTGAATCTTATTACATAAATGTTACGGGATAATGTAATTTGGATCTGACTAACCTGGTTGCCTTTGAGGATTCAGCTCTATCAGCTGCCATTTGGAAAGCTTAAAAAATGGGTAATGATTTGCTCGGCCATTCTTGTCTGTAGTGCTATGCGAATCATCCAGCACAGTGGACATGGGAAAGCTTTCCCCTGATCCTGTAATAATCTCAAACATCTAATGACACAAAAAGTGTGTTGTTATTGTCAATGTTTTTGCTGATTTTGATCTTGAAATAGGTAGAAAAGTGCCATTTTGATTGATCTAATTATCCTCCCTTCCACATTTTACACGGACCAGCCTCACATACATTATCATTTCTTTCTTAATTGCAGAGGCTGTTGTCCAGCTCTCAGATTCAGGTGTGGTGCAGCGCCGGCAGCTCCTGCCCGCAGTCAGCTGTGGTGCTTCCTCTCTTTGACAATGTTGAGCAGGCGCGCCACTCCCTGAGTCCACATCTCGTACTCCCTCCGGCCCCGGCACTCGAACTCGATTACGCGATGCTCCGCCGTCCTCAGGCCGAAGTAGCGCCGCCTCTCGCCGCCTTCCACCAGGTGCCGCCCCGGCCATGCCTGGACTTCCTTGCACACTTCAATGACTACACCTGCAGTTTAGTGTTCCCCACACGCCAAGTTAGGCTCAGAGGAAGAGATTAGGGAGGGAGGCGTGCGTGTGGGCCGCTCACTCTTTTTCTTCTTGGTAATAGTCCCACCAACATGCCGGCTCTTCATCTTGAGCATCACCTACGGAGAGAACACCATCTCAAAACCAAGGAACAACTTTACCCGATCAAAAATACCAAGACGAAGACACATAACTCACCTGACCCATGCGATTTATGTAGACCGAGACAATCTTCCAGTGAAGCGCACCTGAAACGAGATCAATTAACAGAAGGAATCCTCTGATAGGAACTACATACGTTTAGAGTCCAATACCTTTACGGGTGCGTTTGAGGAGTTCAGTCCCCTTGGCAAGGAATTCTTGACTGCATAGGCCCAAGAAGTTGTCTTCCTCGGGAGCGAACTCGTCGCTGAAGCTGCTACCCTTGCTGTCTAATTCCTTGAGTTGTTTGCTGCGGTGGTGATTCTTGTGATTCCCCATTGCTCCCTTCTCCACAGGTATGACCGCGGCGATGTTCCACACGTCCTTGAGCGCCCTTGCCTTCAGCGTTGCCGCACCTCGTAGTGCTGCCAATCCATGAGTTCTCATGATCTTAGCAGTTAAACATGCAAAACCAAGAAAAAAATGGAAGGAAATTGTGATTACCAGTTGCAGCAGCAGCTGTAAGAGTGACGATATCTCCGGGAGTCCTGACACTGACTGCAGATTCGACGACGGACGCCAGGTGCTCACGCTCAGCCCCCATGGACTCGGCCGCCTCGACGCACTGTGCGGCCACGAGGGTGGCAGCGGACGCGACCACCATGTCGACCCGGGCCGCGCGGTCATCTTTGCCGGAGCCTGAGGCGGCGGCGGTGGCGGCTGCGACGGCCGCGACCGCTGCAGCCACTCCGGCCACCGAGACTGCGGCATGGAGCTGTGCATTCTGGGCCCTGGTCTCCTCTTTTTTCCTCTCCCTTCTGTCCTTGAGCCACCTTCCGACAGTCTTGCTGGACCCTCTGCAGTGCTGGGGCTTGGGCGTGTTAGTGGCCCGGCAGTACTGCATTCGTTACATGCCATCAAACACCTAATGGTCAATGTTTAATCTTTTCTCTTCGAGTCATCACTATGAGACATCTATTAGCATCTAAGGGTATGAGGGACAAAGGAGCCTTAATCCATTGTTCAGGAGCTTCCCAGTGCATTGAGCAGTAGACAGAATCATGAAGAGGAGTGGCTACAGAGTCCTCATGCAGCGGAGAGAGTGACAGTATTATCCTTCCTATTGCATGCACAACGAAGGAAATCAAACAAGACACTCAAGGAAAAGATAAGGAGACCAGCACTGAGGTGCTGTTTGCTTTCACTGACAAGGTTGCTTCTTTACCCAGGCAGGCGCTGAGGTAACAGGGCTGCTTTGACCTCAAGCAGAACAAATCCCGTAGTCCAACGCAGGCTTTGCTCAGAGAGCAACAAGACAAAAGGAACGGACCTTATTTTATTCACCAGCACACACCGAAACTAAAGCTTCACTTCGAAGCCTAAACACCAACCTCTTCTTCTTTATTATCCTCACAAGATATTTGACTTTGTCAATGCAAACATCGTCTTGATACAGAAGTTAGGATGTTAAATGAATCAAAACGTCGGCGTCTTCGCTCGCCCAGAAATTACAAGAAGTCACAGAAGCAGTGAAGTTGATGAGTTATTGCCATCGAGGATCCAAGAGGCGCTAAAAATAGCAAAAATAAATGAAGCAAAAGCTCGGAAAACAGTGAAAACGACGGTCATTAAATCACTCGCCTGGTAATAAATATGTGTCAGCAGTCAGGTGTTCCATTGGAAGACGGGGAAGGCATCTTCCTATGTCCCTTTTCTCTTCCTATAACCCCGTTCCCACACTAAAAAATTTGGTAACTTGGTGGCTTTGTCTTCGCTGATCCATCTTCCGAAGAAGCCATTTGATTCTTCGATTTCTGTAAATTACTCCCACCCAGTTTCTAAGAGGTTTGCATACCGAAGAGTTACTAAACTTGAAGTGAGACACTAATACGTTTTCTCTTACAATTTTACTCCATCCGTCCTCGTACGAATCTCAACACAGTGGATTACTACCTCGTCTAGAGGAGATGGATGTCTGGCAGAGCATAAAAACCGAGGAAAAAAAGAGATTTAAACCTATAAAATAGTTATATTTTCTTCTTGCAGACCAAAGATTGGAAGTGCTTATTAACTGTCAGTTCTACCATCATCTTGTGGATGTCAAGGAAAACCAGTATGTTTGTGCTTTTTGGCCATAGAGGAAGAGAAGAAGAAACAGATGGTGAAGTAGGAAAGAAGGGACCTTAAGGTTATCCATCTCGCAAGGGGAGACCGGAGGGCTATCGGAGAGCGATCCACCGCCGTTCAGAGGGCCGCTGCTGTGTGAAGGCCGGCCAGATGTCAGAGGAGACACTTCCTGCCATCGCGCAAGTAGAGAAGAGTAAGAACAGGGGACCAAAAATTTATGCAAAAAGTGTAATCTTTTCTTGCATTTTACCACCTTCCAGTCCTGCTAATGATAACAAAGAGAAGTAGACTTGCATCTTGGAATTTGTCCAAAACATGAAGAAGAAGAAGAAGAAGAAGAAGAAGAAGAAGAAGAAGAAGAAGCAGCAGCAGCAGCTAAAAAGGTTGTTCTGGAAACAGAGGCCGGCTCTTTTTAGTGTAGAAAGAGCTCTGGGTTGTCTCAATCATTCCGAGAAGCTAATAGAAGCTCAAGAATCGAAGTTAGAACAAAGAAGAAAACATGAATGATTCTAACATAAGAGAAACAGGAACAGAGTAGTAGTAGTAGTAGTAGTAGTAATAGTGGTATGAGGAGAAAATAGGATTCTTTCTGTTTTGCAAGCACCAAAACCCACCGGCTGTGACATTATCCGCTCCATCACCATCTGCGTGGTGGCAGACGACGCGAAGGAGAAGGGATTTCCGGCGACCACCACCGCCTCTTCGAGCTCCTCCTCGGGAATCGCCCCTGACGGCGCAGGGAGCAGCGGCGGCGGCGGCGGAGGCGCTAGGGCCTTAGACACCTCGAGCGCGGAGGCGCTCCAGGACCGCGACAGGAACTCCATGGGGTCCTTGGGTACCTCCGGTGGCCTGAGGCCGTGTGTTGGCGCCTCCGCTCGCCATTGCTCTCTATTATCTTCCATAGAATCAACAGCGGTCGTAGCAACCGACCAAGTAGTAGAGAGCAGTAGCAGTAAGGAATGATGCGAGGTGGAGGGAGGGTAGCTGAAGGGGTTTTATAGTAGTAAGGGACAGAGAAAGAAAATAAAAGTGGATCAGAGGAGGATGTCATGGCTCCAATTGGTTTTTACTGTGGCAACATTATGTGGTTTTGAATCAGGAAATAGAGAGGAGACCTTTCGGGATATTTTAGCTGCAGTGGAGCTGAGGAGCCTGGAAAGAGCAGCTTTGCACGACTAAAAAACTTACTCGCTGTTCTTCTTTTGCATCTCTGGGCTTTGCACATGACTAAAAAACTTGCTCACTGTTCTTCTTTCGGATCTCTCTCTCTCTCTCTCTCTCTCTCTCTCTCCTTTGCCAGTGTAACCTTTGGATCAGTGCTCTACTCTCCGGTCTAAATTACAATACAGAACTGTCTTTGTTGGTGTATTCTTTGTCCAGAATAGCATATGCCAAAAAAATACTTTGCTTATAAGTTTCTTCCTTACCACTTCACCAACTCTAGAGTTTGTCTATGGATATCAATCAAACAATTTAGCTGCCACTTAAGCAATTGTGCCAGTTCACATCGTACCAAAACATCAGATCTTCTAGTCCAGTAAAATCTAGAAAAAAAATATATTAAAGAGACAACAGATATATTCTAGTATCACATAAACTAGAATATATCCTAGTACCGCAGGTCATATATATTTTAATTTTTTTCCAAATGAGAAAGAACTACATGAGTGCCTTTATTTCGCTTGAAATAAATATCATTTTATGCTTTCTATGGTAACCAAAGGCTACAGGCTTTAATGATCATATCACTCTAACGGGAGAGATTATATTCTTCACTTGTAAACATAAAATATATTATATATTATATTAAATACGAAAATAATTTTTTATATCAGGATTGAAATTAAATAATTATATCTAGTTTAACGATGCGTACGTTTTGATATCATCTGAAAAAATATATCTGTTTGATCTGTAAAAACACCGTGTTTAATCCAAGATCGTAGTGAATTTACAAAAGGAACTAGATCCTTCTTCTCTCTTCCTACACGGGACCACCTAGATGGATAGTTAGCTTCTCCTCTCTTCCTATCTTTTCACGGGATCACCTAGATGGATAGTTAGGGAGAAGAGTTGAAAGAAAGACTGTATTCCCTCAACTGAGATAACCTATAATTAGGAGAGTTCCTCCCATCAAGATTATCTCCTAAAGAATCATACTGGACTTCTTTTCTATTAACCAATATATTTCATCAAAATCCAATTAGTTATATTATATTTATCTTATCCAATTATAAAAGGGTCACAAAATCTAACATTCCCCATTAATTGATAAGATATAAAAAAGATATTCAAAATCAAAATAAATAAAATAAAATTATTTAAAAATAATTTTACCTAATTGAATTCTAAATAATTTTAAAATGCATTTTATACATGGCCATGAATTTTAAACAAGCCAATAAATCTAATAAATATAATAATACTATATTAAGTCTAACTATCAATGCGAGTCACATTGACTGTATATCATCAATATCATACTCCCTTCTATGTACCACAACATTGTTAGTCATTCCTAATATAGTCCATAATAATCCCTGTAATTTGTCTTGTCAAGACAATCCTGTTATTACATTCAACTATAATATACATAAACATAAAATGTAAACAAGATAGCAGAAACAAATAACTTTAATTAAGCAAAAAAATATCAATAATAACATCCACCTAAACATGCATCACCATATCTTTTATGACTTGCTCATAAGCCTCGAACATATTCTTCAAATATTTTACACTATAAATCTTTTGTCAATGGATCAGCAATCATCATAATAGTGATGCTCAGGTTCTCAATTGGCACTTGTTGTTTCTAAATTCTTTCTCTAATCACCAAGTACTTTATCTCGATGTACTTAGAACCACTATAGTACTTGTCATTCTTAGAGAAGAAAACTAATGCGGTATTATCACAAAATATCTTTAGTGGCTTGGCAATTGAGTTGACCATACTAAGTCCTGAGATGAAATTTCATAGCTATAAAGCTTGATTTGTGGCCTAAAAGCATGCCACAAATCCAGCTTCCATTATTGATGATGCAATAAGCGATTGCTTTGCACTTTTCCAAGAAATTGCCCCACCAGCTAACATGAATACAAATCCTGAAGTGGACTTCCTACTGTTGAGGTAATTTACAAAATCATCATCTGAATATCCTATCACTTCAAGCTGATCTGATCTCCTGTATGTGAGCATATAATCTTTCGTCCCTTATAGATATCTCATTACTTTCTTTGTAGCTTTCCAATGATCCATTCTTGAGTTGGTTTGGTATCTTCCCAGCATTGCAATTGCAAAACTGATATCTGGTCTTATACAGGTTTGAGCATATAATAGACTTCTAACTGTGCACTCATAAGGAATATTTTTCCTTTGATTATTTTATAAGTAATTTTTCAGGCACTGGTTTTGACTAAATTTTTTACCTCTAGTAATAGGTATATTATTGGCTGAGCAAAGCTGCATATTAAATTTCTTCAAGATACGATTAATATATCCTTTTTGAGATAATCCTAATAATCCTTTAGATCTATCCCTGAATATCTCAATACCAATAACATAGATTGCCTCATTCATATCAATCATCTTAAAGTTCTTGTTGAGAAATATCTTGATTTCGTGTAATAAACCAAGATCACTATTGGCAAGTAAAATAGTATCTACATATAAGACTAATATAATAAACTTGCTCCCACTTATCTTCATATATATATACTGATCAACAGTGTTTTCCTTAAATCCGAAGAAAGTAATGATATCATGAAACTTTATATATCATTGTCTAGAAGTTTGTTTAAGGCCATAAATATATTTCTTAAGTTTACAAGGCCAACTTTTTTTTTCCCTTTTTATGAATCTTTTAGGTTGTTCCATATAGATTTCCTCATTCAGATCCTCATTCAGAAATGTTATTTTCATATCTATCTGATTTAACTTAAGATCATAATGAGCTACTAGTATCATGATGATTCTTAATGAGTCATTTCTAGAAACCAGAGAAAAAGTCTCATTATAGTCGATGCCTTCTTTCTAGAAAACCTTTGGCCATGAGTTTGGCTTTATATCATTCGATATTGCCCATTGAGTCACATTTTATCTTAAATACCCATTTACAACCAACTCTTTTACAATTATTGGGTAATTTAATGAGTTCCCAAACATCATTCTGGACCATTGATTTTAACTCTTCTTTCATTGCATTATATTATTTTTTAGAATCGTTACTTTCTATGGTTTGTGAAAATGATAAGGGGTCTCTTTTTATTCCTATATCATAATCTGATTCTTTTAGATATGCCACATAATCATCAGAAATGGCATGTTTCCTTTTCTTTTAAGATATTCTCAAAGCTACCAATTATGATTGTTCTACAAGATCATCAGTGACGATATCAACATCATGTGAGTGTTCTTCGATGTTATTTTGTTGTTCACTCTCGTCAATACTTTCATTGATTTGAGGAACAATAATTTCTCGAATAGGAGATGATATGAGAGAATTAACTTGAATCTCCTTAATATCAAAATTGATCCTTCGAGATTTTTCACTCCCACTTATTTCGCCATTTTCTACGAGTTTTGTATTACCAGATTCTACTATCCTTGTACTATGGTTAGGGCAATAAAATCTGTATCTCTTGGATTTTTTTAGATAATTAATAAAATATCTAGAAATAGTTCTTGGATCCAATTTCTTTTCATATGGATTGAATACTCTTATTTCTACTATACATCCCTAAATATGTAAATATCTCAGACTGGACTTCCTACCAGTCCATAACTCAAATGGAGTTGATGGAACTGACTTACTAGAAACCCTGTTCAAGATGTACATAACTATCATAAAAGCTTCACCCCACATCGACTCTAGTACAGAGGAAAAACTCATCATACTCCTAACCATATCCATAAGAGTACGATTTCATCTTTCAACAATACGGTTCTACTATGGCACACTTGGTAATACATATTGAGTATAAATACCTCGTTGTTCTAGGAATTTTGTAAAAGGACCAATGTTCTGACCAGATCCATCATATCTATCATAAAATTCACCACCCCTGTCAGATCTGACAATTTTAACTTTTCTATCTAATTGTCTTTCGACCTCATTTATGTACACTTTAAGAGTATTGACGATTTGAGACTTTTCATGTATTAGATAAACGTAGCCATATCTAGATAGGTCATCTATAAATGTAATGAGATACCTTTCTTCACTAAAACAAGGAATATGAAGTGGTCCGTAGATATTAGCATGGATAATCTCAAGGAGTTCTTTACTTCTTATGGCATTTTTCTTTATATGTTTAGTTTACTTTTCCTTAATGCAATCTATACAAACATCAAAATTAGTGAAACCTAAATGTTCCAAAATATTATCCTTCAGTAATCTTTCAATTCTTTCCTTAGAGATATGCTACAATCGTCTATGCCACAATATAGAAGATCTTTTATTATTGAAACTACGTTTCAATCCAACACTTGGTTGCAGGGTCAATAGTATATTTGTAAACTCAAGATCCAAATTAATTCTATACAAACCATCACACATAATTTTAGAACTGACTTTTATTTAATAATAAAACATACTAAGTTTACCATTACCAAAAGAAAGATAATATCCTAACTCATCAATTCTAGATAGAGAAACTAAATTTTTAGAAATAATAGGAATATAATGTTGAATCTCGGATTTTGATGATATAATCAATTGGTGGGTTAATTGATCTAATCCATATTATTGAGTTAAGTGCGCAGGATTAACTACGATAACCAGAAAATATAAAGCAAGGATACCGGAGTCAAGTTCGATGGACGTTTAAGAGTCCGAAGAATCGTCGGAGATGCTGCCGGAACCAACCGAGAAGAAATCGGGAACCTGTCGGAATTTTCGGAAGTTCGCCGAAGAGATTGTCGGAGGTTCACGGAGATCACCGAGAAGGCTCGGCTACTCGTTAAAGTCATCACAAGTTCAGGAGCTTGATGGGAGTCCGTCGGAAGAAGTTCGTCGGAAAGCTCGCCGGAACAAGACTCGACGTTCGCGGTTGAAAACTTGCTTAGGATGTATTTTGTTATGTAGTTCACTTGTAATTAGGATTAGGATTAAGATATAATCCTATATCCTGGTTAGGGGCCAACTGGGCCCAAAGTCAGATTTGGTT